TTGGTAGAAGTATTTTTATATGTGATTGGGCCCATAACAGGGGTAAAGATAGAAATTCCTCTATAAAGTTTTCAAACATTTTATATAGCATTAAAAATTGTATTTCAGATTGTAATAGCTTTGTGGCATAAACACCCTAGAATTATGTTGTGATATTATTTGATGTTGAGTGGAATTCAGTAGGAGGTGCATTATCATAGATATAATTTCAATAAAAATGATTACTCAGGTCCAGCTCAATTTGTATCATGTAATAGACTCAACACAAATGATGTCTTATACTATGGGATCTATAGATTGTGTCCTAGTTCAAGGGTTTGAGGCCATCTAAAATAAGAAATAGCATTTTGGGGGCCTGGGAAGGTGGCTCAGTTGTGGAGGGGCTTCTGTGCAAGTGTGAGAACCTGAGTTCAGTCCCCCGTTTTCACATGAAAACTCACATGTGCACACCCGTAGTCCCAGCACCGGGGAACCAGAGACATTCAGATCATGGGAGGTTTCTGGCCAGTCAGACTGGCTAAATTGGTGAGCTCCAGGTTCAGTGTGAGATCCTGTTTTCAAATAAAGTGGAGGGGGATTGAGGAAGACACTCGACATTGTCCTCTGGCTTCTATACATAGGTGCACATGTGTTTACTCACCTGCACACATGAGCATACACATGTGGTGGTGGGTGAAGAGGAGGAAGCCAAGACAGGCATAGGAAGCTGGGAGAGCTAATTTCTCTCCCAAACCCAGGTGGCTAAGTTTGGGGTCTGGTCACATTGGGTGCCAAATGTAGGCATATTTAATGAGGTCATAAGAGTCCAGAATAAAGGATAACAAGTATTTATCTATTTATTTGGGGGAAAACTCCCAATAAGGGTAGAGAGGGTCCTCTGTGGGTACTGGAAGCTGCAAACCAAACTCCAACCACCAACCAAGAGAGTGTAAGCATGCTTCCTGTCTGCACTTAGAGTACCTCAGACTATACCCTAATGGACCTGTATCCAAAGGCTATTGGCTGAATAAATTTCCACAACACAAACACACAGACAACAACAACAACAACAACAACACACACACACAAATACTCTTTTTGTCTTCCTGTTTTTATTTTGTATTTTTTCTCCTCAGGCGAGGAATACTTTGTTGGACAGGTAGCTCACATTTTATAAGAGAGATGTCAGAAGAACAGTCATAACAAATGCAGTATGAACAAGGAATGTTGGAGATAGAAGACTTCACAAACTAGGGAACCATGACTTGAATGTGTTTCTTGCTACTCATACTAAAATCAGAAAATGCTCACTGTCAGGAGCTAGTGTGAGTTCTCCAAAAGCAAGTGGAGGCTAACTTGTTGTGTCCAGACTGGTCCCTATACCTACAGCTCGTATGTGCTTCCCAATCTATGCCACACACATCTGCATTCAGAATTGTTGTATTGTGTGCAGTGTGTGCAGGAGAAAGGAATCCTAAAGCGAATCAGAATTTTAGTGTGCAATGTGGGAAAATCTTTGCCATTCTCTTGAGGAATGCAGACCTGGGGATTGGGGGCTGGAGTGCACAAAACATGGTCAGTTCATAGCTGAGCGAATGGTCTTGTCAACTGTCTATTTAACTTCAAAAGGCATGGAAGAGAGAGAAGCCTCTAAGCTACCAGTGATGGACTTCCGTTGTTTCTGTATGATTTTACAACAAACAAACAAACAAACAAGTAAATGAACAAATACAATTTAACAATGGAAATAACGTTAAATGACACATTACATGGCGCCTCTGTACCAACGCAGACAGGCGGGACTAGAAGAGCTCCATCCAAGCTTGTGTTTAGGATTTAGATAGCCCTAGAAAGTGTTGCTCTCGTCCTGACTTGAAAAGACCAGAAAAACTTCAACACAACCGTTTTTTAAAAATCAGAGAAAGAAACCCAACCCCCTAAAGGGCAGCCAGGGTCAGGGTCTTTCTATCCAGGCAGGAAGAGACCTGTGTTTCTCTCACATCAGGGGTAGGAGCAATTAACCCGCATTTTGGGGCTATACCAGCCGCACTTCCCAGCGCGGGCACACAGAGACTAATGGCCCAGAACTAAACCTCCCTGGACCGCTGCGATTCACCACAGGCTCAAAGGCTTAGCAGGGCAGAAATGTGCTCTTGTGTAGTTCTGGAAGCCAGAAGGCTAACATGAGGATTTCAGCAAGGCCGCAACCTGCTACCAAGGCTCCAGGGAAATTACTTTCCTAGTAGCTTCCTATCTCTGGGGGCTCCTGCCAATTCTCAGTGTTCATTGACTCATAGCAATGCCACTCAAGTCTTGTCTCCACCTTCATCTTTTTGCTGGATCTGTTTCTAATGAGATTTGTCAGTGGCTTTAGGACCTTTCTTCAGTCTAACGTAATCTCGTTTCGATTATTACCTTGTTTATATCTGTAAACCTCTATCTCCAAATAAGTTGCCATTCTGAGGTTCTGGCTGGATATAAATTTGGGGAGAATTCTATTCTACCTACCTTAGAACCTCAGAGGATGAGTTCACATTAACCCTGTTCTGATTACTTACTGTGTGGAAAGCTGGTCCCCAAGCTCTGACTGGGAGTACAGTTCTAAAATCCTAGCTGCTCCGGAGGCTGAGGCAGGAGGATCCCATGTTGAAGCCTGTTTGGGTTACAGAGTGAGCCTCTCTGTTAGAATAAAAAGTAAAAGCAGAAGTGAGGTCTAGCTCACGGCAGAGTACTTGCTTAGTAAGCATGAGACCCTGGGCTTAGTTCCTAGTACTTCAAATCAAGTAAGCAGGCAAATAATCCAAATAAGTTATCCTGCAATTCAATAATACCAGCAGTCATTATTACAGCTTAGGGCTTTTGTGAGACAGGAATCTAACAGAGCTTGGCTCAGCAACACCTCTGCCTACTCAGCACTGACTTGAGTCAGTGGCATTCAGCTGGTGGCTGATCCTATTCAGGTGGTCCAGACCACCTTCCCTTTCATGTCCTGTGAAGCTTAATTTTGACTCTCAAGTTGACTGGATTGAGAAACGGCTGGGAGATTGACAAGGCACACCTCTGGTGGGTCTGTGATGGCGTTTCCTGACCCAGAGATGTTTGGATCAGGAAGGTCTGAACTAATGAAATGTAACTAGGAGAATATAACACACGACCTTTTGTAACTGGTTTCTTCCATCTGTCCCTCTGTTTGAAAGACTCTTCTCTGTGTTCTGTTTCATTGTTTCCTTCATCTTTATTCTTCAATAATCCACCTTGTGGATCGGCTCTGTAGTGCACCCTGTCTTTTGACACAGACAGGAGGATGGTTAATTTGAAGGCAGCCTGGTCTACATAGTGAGACCTTACCTTAAAAAAAAATCAACAAGAAATATTCAGTTGCATGAATATGTTTTGTAGTTTGGGTTCTTAAATTTAGTTCTCTGGGCAATTTCAAAGTGTGTGTGTGAGTGTGTGTGTGTGTGTGTGTGTGTGTGTGTATGTGTGTGTGTGTTATAAGGAATCCAACTTCATTTTGTCTACTGCTGCATTTTTATTGCACTGAATAGATATTCACTGAATGTTTATTGAACATTTAATTGAAAAAAATTTCCTTCCCCATTGAACTGTCTGTCTTGGCACCGTCTTGAAAATCAATTGACCCTAATGTAAGAGTCTATTTCCAGGCTTTCTCTCTTCCCCTGCTCTGTGTGTGTATGTGTGTATATAGCAATCTTTACTACTCAAATTTATTGAATGTCTTTATGCAGTTTTTCTAAGTAACCTAATTTTGCTTAATTTAGAGCAATAGGCCCTGCGAACAGAACCTTCCTTGCTCCTCTTCAGTTTTTCCTGAATTCAGCATTAGGCCAATTAACTTTCATAAAAATTTCCCTTCAGTTTCATATTCTGATACAACCTCTTTGTTCTTTTCCTGGCCCGAGGTCACCTATTTATTTATTTATTTATAGATCTCCTCCAGAGTTTCCCAATTAGTTTGTGATAATTAAAGCGATCGACTTCTTCACTCTGAAGTTTTATAATGACACAGCTTGCAATGTGCCAATTTAAAAGAATGAAAACTGTAAATGCATTACCTCCTAAGGTGGATTTTTATATTGATGAAAGAATTCAGTGTTGGAGCTATAGTTAAAGGGGAGGGTTGACATGACGACCTGTCAAACTCAGAGCTGAGAGCTATGGTGCCTACCAGCCAAGACTTAACCTGACACCCAGGTGACATCCAGGAGGTTCTTGGTGCTAATAGGACCTTGAAAGCTGATGCAGCCTGGACTCTAGGATGGGGAATTTAACAATGTGAGTGGTCATACAGTTAGCTTGAAATGTTTCTATTGGGTCTTGGAGAGATGCTCAGCACTTCAGAGTGCTTGTGCTTATAGAGGACCAGGCTTTAGTTTCCAGAACCCACTTGGTGGCTAATAACCGTTCCTAACTCCAGGTCCATGGGATTTCATTGCTTTCTTCTGGCTTCCATGGACACTTGTGGTGCACATATTTACATGTAGGAAAAATGTTTCTACATAAGATAAAAATTAGTAGATCTTTAAAACATTTGCATTAACATTAGAATGAACGATACATATACATGCAGAAGAACACATGTGTACACACTTACACACACTTATTTACTTGTAGATACCTGTGGGACCCCTGAGGTAATAGCCAGGGCCCTTTACCTATACGATGTAGAAGGCTAGGACTCGTCCACTCAACTCCTTTCTCATGCTTTCCATGTATAATTTATCAAGAAGCACTTTTGATTTTGCCTTTATATATTTCCCGAGTTTATTTACTTCTGTTTCTCTACATCAGCTCTACCCTGAACCAAACATCTGTCATGATTTGATTGACACATGCAACTGGTGGACCCTATTATTGTATGCTACATTGCTGAATATCTCCCTATTGTACTTGTCATTGTACCAATTGTTTTCCATATAACTGATTGATGACATTCTCATGAGTCTGTAAATGTCTTTGAACTGGGGCCATGTTTGCTGACTTATTATTTCTTCCTGTAGTGACCATGCAGATTAATAAATACACAGGATTCCAGCACACCCTGAAGAAAGCTATGAAAGAAACGGTGAATGAAACCTTTTTATAAAGACATCTCTGGGCTCTCTGCGGATCCACGCCTGGTCCATCACATCATCTATCAGAGTCTAAGTAAATGTGTTAATAGGATATGGGTTAAACTGGTAGTGTCACAGATCAGAGAGGAAATGTGATAGTATCAGTCTCAAAGTCATTTTAAGGGTTTGTTACTATGCTCTGAATTCAACAAAATGAAATTTCATAGTGATATGTAAATGGAGCATAAATAACTACGAGATGGTAGGATACAGACTGGAGAAGAGAGTGGGTCTTCGTTGGAAGCAGAGACTGTGCTTTTGTTTTCTGGTCACCCAGAACCAAACAATCACACAGAAACTATATTAATTACAACGCTGGTCAACAGCTCAGGCATATTCCTACTAGCTCTTATATCTTAAATTAACCAATTTCTATTATTTTACATTTTTCCATGAGGCTCATGGTTTGTTACCTCACATCTTGCTTCTTGGGTGGCTACATGGCATCTCCTGACTCTGCCTTCTTTCTTCTTGCATTTAGTTTAGTTTTTCCATCGACCTATATTCTGCCCTACTATAGGCCAAAGCAGATTGTATGTTAATCAATGGTAATAAAACATTCATAGCCTACAGAGGGGAATTCCACATCACTCAGGAACCTCATCTCTAAGGGTTTGGACGTTTTGGGCTGATAATAAGTCCATATAGAAGGTAAAATTACTATATCAGTGGGTTTAGAAGGTGAATATTCAGGGGCTGGAGAGATGGCTCAGTGGCTAAGAACATGCACTCATCTTGCAGAGGACTGGAGCTCAGTTCCTAACACAGACATAGGGCTGCTTGCAAGTGCTCCAGAGGATCAGACTCTCCCTTCTGGCTTCTGTGAGCTCCTGCACACACACGTTACACGTATAAACCTACTCACGGGCACACGTTTAAACAATTTTTTTTTAAAAAAAAGTTTAAGAAAGTAAATGTTCAGTAAAATAAGGCAAAATGTATACAAATAGGCAAGTTAGAAAAGGAAATTGGCAGTGGTCAATGAAGAAAGAGATCAGTGTAAACCAAAACATTGAGAAATGATTTACCTGTGAAGTTAATAAATATTAAATAAGAAAAGATAATTCACAACAATGCAAGATTGTCTCGTGTTTTTATTATTATTACTGTGTTTTACTATACTTCTGGATACAATATAAATTACTATTTTTGGAGATGCAGCTAGCAATTCAAATGAGAACATCTTAAAATACGGATATCTTTGATTAGCAATGGTACTTTTAAACATTGGTTGTATAGAAAAGTATGAACAATTTTGTTACAGTTTTTTGTTTGTTTGTTTTTTGAGTCAGGATCTTTCTGTAGCTTTGGAACCTGGCCTGAAACTCACTTTATGGACCAGGCTGACCTCGAACTCATAGAGATCTGCCTGCCTCTGCCTCCTGAGTGCTGGAATTAGAAGCATGCACCACCACTTCCCAGCCTTTTTTATTTTTTTGTAGTTGTTGTAGTTATATTTTTAAAATCATTATAACAGAGAAAGGATTGGTGAACTAGGCATTCTCACCTGTAAATGGGAGGCTAAGGTGGGATTTTAAGGCCAATTTGGTCTACCCAGTGAGACCTTTACTCAAACACACACACACACACACACACACACACACACACACACACACACCAAAAACACAAGCAAAAAACTCCAAACTAAGACAAAACAAAACTCACCACAAAAAGTCAAACTAAATTTAAGCAAAAATTGTGGTAAAGAAAGAAAGAGCTTGAAAACACATCTCTAGAAATAAGATGTTGGTGAAATATAATAACATTTCCACATAGATATGTATAATTTTACTGCTGAAATGATAGTATGAAAACAATGTAAATTCATGCACAACCATTTAAAGACAGACTATAAATAATATAGTATGATTATTTTCTTTGAAGCAAGGTATTAAATGTAGCTCAGGCTAGAGTTGAACTCAGGACACTCGTGGCTCAGTTTCCCAAGGACTGGTAATATGGTGCATTACTACTTAACCTGATCTTATTTTTATTACAGAGTATGTGCACAGGAAAATGATAGTGGTTTTCTCTGGCTGGTCAAAGTTTGGATGATAGACATTCTTCTGTATCTTTGGAGGACTGACTCTCTGATTCCCTGTAGACACTAAAGTCCGAGGGGGCTGAAATTCCTTGTGTAAATGCCTTGCTGTTTCCACATCTCTTACACACACTTCTCATATACCCGAGAGTATCTGTAAGTTACGTACAATGCTGAACCCAGAGTAAATATCATGTAAATAGTTGTACTGGTCAGGGAATAATAACAAGAAAAAGCCTGTACATGTTTAGTGCATATGATATTTTTTCGAATATGTTTTACATGTGGTAGGTGGGATCCACGGATGAAGAACCCATGGTGTAAAGAGTATTGATTGTATCTCATTTTGTTTGTCTCACTTAACCAGTAAACATATAGTGGTTCCATAAATGACAAAATAATTGCTTAATACTAAGGGGTGGGTATCACCGGAAGCATACTAAAGTTGGCTGCTTTAAGCGAAAAGGGATGCTCACAACAAAGGTCATGGAGAGTCCTTGCTGCTCTATTCTGTGTGCCAGGAGCCATAGCTCCCTCTCAGGCTTATTATCCTAGTAGGCAGCAACTGTGTACTATGTTACCACCGCCCTTAATACATTTAATGAGATATTGATACTTTAGGACCTCTGTAGCGTTCAGCTGGTAAAGTGCAATCATGGAGTCCTGAGTTTGATCCTTCAGAACACACATAAAACAGCTGAGCATGGTGGCACACTTATGAATCCGGCCCTGGGGAGGCAGACAGGCAGCTCGAGGAGGGCCAGTGGCAAGCTCTAGGTCAACGAGAGGCCCTTTAAAAAAAAGACCCCCCAAACTTTAGCCTTTACAAGTATCTACATACATTTATGAAGATGCATGCACATATGCGTACATACGTACAAACATGCACATGGCTTCTGACCAGAGGACTTTGTAGAACTGTAAGCTAATGCTAGCTGCTTATGCTTTAAATAAGCTAGGCTAAGCTGCAGTATTTAGTGGTTAGATGCATTCAACATATCCTGGCATAGGATATTTTCAACTTTCAATGGGTGCATTCAGTGAGGTGCATTTTAAATCAAGGAGTAGTTGTCTAATGATTCTCTGAAAGTGTTTACTAAGCAAAAAAGAGAAGGGCATAAAAGTGCAGACTCTTTGAGCCTCTGTCTTTGATTTTTTTCTCTTGGAATTGCTTCATTTCAAAGTTGGCCTTGATTTTAAAGATTTACTGTATTTTATCAAGCAGTTAACATGGCTTTTAGAAAGTCTTTATTATTATTATTTTTTATATCGCTCAGTGCACCATATGGTTAGAATCCCCAGGAGGACTCTTTGACCCTGCAAAAAGGAGAACATTAAAATAAGAATGAACACTCCGGATATCTGTGAGTTTGAGGCCAGCCTTGTCTACAAGAGCTAGTTCCAGGACAGGCTCCAAAGAAAAGAAAAAGAAAGAACAGTCACAAGCAGACCTTCTAGAGAGCAGATCTGTCCCAGAGGCCAGGAGAATGCTAATGAAGACCAGGGCACATGTATATTCATGATCTACCTCCCCCACCCCTTAGGGAATCCAGGATATTGGTGAAAACCAGAATGCACACACACGCGTATTCATGGTCTACCGCCCCTCCTTGTTCTATGGGATCGAGAGGGGCTAATTCTCTTTTATTTTAAAATTATATTAAAATATGAAAGCATGAAGTCTGACTTTTTTCATAGTGTACATTGGAGGTTATCAACAAATTAAGACTATAAAGCATAAGAACACAAACTGATTTTCTTTTTTTCTGCTCAGAGTCTCATTACAGTTTAATCAGAATTTATAGCATGCTGGACATACATTCTAATGACTGATTGTGAGGCATTTCTGTGTTCAGTCACTCGGAGGTCTTCTGGGAGTGATGTGTGGCTTCACCAGCCTAAATTTAAAACTCTTCTTGAACACAGCTTCCTGCCTCTCTACTCCTTAATGTGGATGAAGGTTATGGGTCAAAGTCCAACACAGGTGCCAGACATGCTGAGGGGATGACATGGACACACTGCGTGTTATAAATGAAAAGAACAGAGTTTGTGAAAGATGGAAGTCTGAGAAAGTAGTAATATATTTCTACCTTTTGGGGGACATTTTGGGAAGGGGTATTGTGTAGGACAAATGAGCCCTGTAAAACAGCGACCGCAGGAACGTTCACTTAGATGCATATCCGAGCTGAGAAGGGTGGTTCAAGCCTCCTCTGTATTACTATTGAACACAGCTTTTCAGATTCTATGAATCCCGTGTGATTGAGGTCTGACTGGTAAATGCTTGCCTGATGGCAGGGTACACAGAAAGGGCACAGCTCCATCTCAGTGGCCACAACCGAGGTGTCCTGTATGGGTGCTGGTGGAAGGAGCAGGTGGCAGACAGCAGGATTCTCAACCCCTGGGGTTGAGGTCTCGACCCCATTGGGAGTCACCTGTCAGACATACTGCATTGAGATATTTCCATTGTGATTCATAACAGTAGCGAAATTACAGTTATGAAGTAGTAACAAAATAATTTTGTGTCTGGGAGTCACTACACCATGAGGAATTGTATTAAAGGTTCTCAGCATCAGGAAGGTAGAGAGCCATTGGCTTAGAGTAAAGGATCAGGAAGTGCATGCACAGGGCACAATATGGGTTAGTTACTCTTTCTTCATGATGCCCTATCAGGTTCCTTTGTGCTGGATTCTATAGGGAGGGCATGTTCATATTCTTATGGGTGAATATATCCAGCATCAGTGCCACAGTAGCTTTGGGCAGAGCTCCGTGGAGGCCCATTAAGGTAGACCACTAAAGAGTCACTAAAGAGCTGCCAGGAGGCTCTGATGGGTCACATGGCGTTCTGAATTCTGACTTAGAAAGATAGAACTTTCCAGTTTTCTTTTTTGTCTCTTTATTGCCGATGCTGGCCAGAACCTGCATATGCTTTAGTAGCGAGAATCCACGGGAGTCTGGGAGAGACAGGTTTGAAGAGTTGATTTAGATGTATACCAGGGGTGAACCCTCGCTGATACGGGACAGGTTAGACACGACCACAGCAGTTCCACCCAAGGAGAAAGAGCACCAACAGCAAGCAGCAGGGCTCCTACCATCCAAACCAGCGCGAGAGCTAGAGAGAGACCGCCTCCCTCTTTCCTTGGAGGAGATAAAGTCTGCAGACAAGAAGTCACGCCCAAAGGCTGGTACCCCAAATCTATCGACGAAACGAATTCCCACCAAGTGTTTTCATTTGTACTTTGGGCTTTTCATATTCCTCTGAATTTATCTCTCTCCTGTCATGTGGCTACTCGTTGAGTCTT